ACCCCAAGCCAAGGGTTGAGATCCCCTTACCGGTCATCTAAAAAAAAAAAAAAAAAAAAAAAAAAAGAGAGGATAAGCAAGGATGTTGAGGAATGGGACAGAACTTGATCGAAGGCAGACAGACCCCCAAGCACCTGACTCAAACAGAAGGAGGACTGACCCGGCAAGACGTCAGTATTGAAGGGAGTGGGGCGAAGAGTCAGCAGGGTCAGCCTGCTCCAATGTCTCCCTGACTCTGTTCAGGAACATGAAGGCAAACACAGAAGGGCATGTGCAGAGACGCACGTGATCATGCTAGTGATGCAGAGGCAGACCCAGACAAAAGACCGAGACAGGAGCCAGGCAGACACACAGACAGAGACAGCCCCGCGGAGTCATGTAGACAAGGATAATGACAGGAACGCGTCAGACACAGGCACTGAGGGAGACAAGATGAGCAGATATGCAGGTGCACACGGAGACAGACACCGGGACCCACACACAGCCGACCGTGTCACACAGACTTGTGAACACAGCGCCCAGTCAGAGGCAGACACAAGGCCCGCAGTGACACATAGCGGGCCGGGGCCAGCACCGTCACTCCTCAGTGGGGGGTGGGGAGGAGCCGGCAGCGGGGGAAGGCTGGGGAAGGGAATCCCGGGCGGGCGGCCTGCCCGGGTGGCTGAGTCACACTAGAGTCTCAGCCGGCGGCCGTCCCCTCCGCCTCCCCCTCCCATTCCCCCAGGTAAGAAGCGAGCCTGTAACCCCTCGCTTCCACCTGGCAGAACGAGGAACGGCAGGGAGCGGGATGCGGCGGGGGGCGGTCCCACCTCCGCTCGCGTGCAGCGTGCCCACTAGCTGCCTGCTCAGTCAAACCCATCTGCGGGGTCTTATCTTTGGCTGTGTTAGGATTCTGCGTGCGCACGTCAGGCCTCTTACCACGCGTCCTGCGCGGCTGGAGTCCTGCGCGGAGGGGCTCTTCGGCCTCAAGCCCAGAGAGAGTTAAGTGGATGTGATTGATGGAGTGGTTCTCTCTTGGGGCTCAAGGGGGAGGGGGTCGGTTAAAGTCCTGGAGTCCAGAGCCCGGATGGAGGGGGCGGAGCCGGGCTTTGCCGGGAGTGCCCGGATGGGGAGGGCGTGGCCTCGGCGGGAGCTGAATTAACCCTTTCAGAGAGAGCGGCTGGCTCCCAGGATTGTGGGTCGGTTTGGGAGAGGCTGGAATGTCTGCCCTAGACGTCTATGACCTCCCAGCCTGGCTCTGGCCGCATGCGTCTACCTTTCGTCTGTCTTCGAGGAGCCTGTGGGTTTCCGTCTTTGTGTCTCTCCGTGGTTGTTCCCTCCCTTGGGTTAGTATGGACACCGGGAGTCGGGGAGGGCTATTCTTGCCCCAGAGCGAGAGTGGAGGTGAGAGTGGATCGCGAGCTGGCCGGCGGCGGCTGGGGAACAGGTGTGAGCGCGGCGTTGGGGCTGCCCGGCGCGGGGAGGGGCTGTCGTGGGGGGAGACGAGAGGGGAAATTCCGCGGGACCGGTGGTGAGCAGTGTGTGGGCTGAGGAGTTGTGTCTGCCTCTGACTGTGTGTCTGTGTGTGTTCGGGGAGGCGGGGGCTGAGTCAGTGGGAATAGGGGAAGGTTTTCTGGGTGACTCACGCTCCCCCACCCCAAGCCTGAATCAGACCCGCAGGGAGGGCTTTGTCCGGGGTGGCGGGTGAGGAGTCAGGCCGCTGCGTCCCGGATGGGGACGAGGATCCGAGGCGGCTGCGAGGAAGTTTTGTCTTCAAGTGAGGGCTCTGTACTCCCTGGTGCCAGAGTAGGGCTTTGTGGATAAAGGTGGAAGACCAAGAGGCTGGAGGGACGGGACTCGCTGGCTTAGGGAAAGCTGAGTCAGTTCCCCGTGGGAAAGGGGAAGTGGCAGAAGGGAAGTGTCATAATCGCAGAAGGGGAAGCTGCATTTCCTGGTAACTGGCAGCTCCCTCGGCACCACTTCCCAAGCAAGGATCGCTCCTCTGATATCTGCTCCCCTCCCTGCCCCGTTTGCCCAAGTCTGGTCCTTGCGTCCCCCTCTCCCCGGGGACTTGGGTGGGGGCAGCCGGCCAGGGCTACACTTGACCGCAGTTAGGCGCTGTACTTGTCCCAGGGCTTGGTAACAGATAAAAAGGCTGCTGCGTCTGGTGAGGAGTCAGAGTTCTGACAGAAACTCCGCGTGAACTTCGGAGACGGTCCGCGGGGCCCAAGTGCCCAGCAGGGCTCAACGGAGAGTGGCAGGCCGGGACCTGTAGGGTCCAAGCGCTTCCATGCAAACAGGCGACCTTGCCCCTGCGGGAGGGAGGGCTGTTTTCACCAGAAACCGGTCTGCCTTTGTGGGTTGCGTGGAAATTTCCCCATAGCGCAGACTTCTCAGCGAAGGCGAACTTTCCAGCCGCCCCCAACCCCTGGTTGCGCGCTCTCCCCCGGCTTCCTGCCCGGCGCTAGCTCCAGCTGGAGCGCTGGCTCCGCCCCCGCCGCTTTGTACTCGGCACTAGCTTCTCGCCGCTCTTTGTACTCTAGACTCTCAATGGACCGATCCCAGGAGTGGAGCCGGCTCCCTACTTGCGGGGACGCCGGGTAGACGCGGAGGCGGCGCGGGGATGCAGCTCCTGGGCTCAGGGAGGCGAGAAGTTAGAGCTGGGGCTAAAAGGAGAGGAGCCCAGGAGAGGAGAGCGTTGTGCCGGTCGTGGGTCGAGCCAGCACCGACGGGGGGGGG